CTACTTCCGTAGTGATACTGCCTCGGAAACCCAAGGAGGGGTCGCTATGAGTCGGGGCCGACTCGACGGCACATAACAACAACAACAACAACAATTCAAGCTCTATCTAAAAACTTCAAATAATCTAAAGTAATGTCTAATTGAATAAACATTTTCACATGACACATGTCTAAGCAGAAATCAGCATCTATCTGTACTTTTTCTTTATATCAACTATGGTTTCTAACTCATGTATATATAACTATTTAATTATCCTGATAAGGAAAACTTTGATAAAATTGTTCTTATGATCGTTTTTTCTTATTAGGTAGCACATCATTTGAAGACCTGAAAAAGTCTTCAAAATGTTTCTTTTGTTGTTCCCATTGTTATTGCCTCAATTCTTTGAACTTCTTATTAATTTAGGAGTAAATTAGTTGTCAGCATGGATTTATTTCTCACAGACTTCTTTCTGTTCAAATAAACTTTTGGCTGTGCTTCCATAATCATCTGTCTGAACAGATGCTGTGATCCTGCTAAGCCAGACGTGACTGAAGAAACTGAAGTTGCTTGGATAATTCTTTCATTGTTTCTAGCTGCTGTATTCATCATTATTTCCTTCTCTCCGTTCTGTAATATGTAACTTAGTCTTGTGTTGTTGTTGTTGTGTGCCGTCAAGTCGGCCCCAACTCATAGTGACCGTTCCTTGAGTTTCTGAGGTGGTATCACCACAGAAGTAGATTGACCAACCTTCCTTCCGAGGAGTGGCTGGTGGGTTTGAACCGCCAGCCTTCTGGTTAGCAGTCAAATGCTTTAGGCACTATGCTACCAGAGCTCCTAACTTAGTTTTATTTTTCTTAAAGCATCTAGCCAGCATGTGAAGACGTACTATAACTTTTCCAAGTACCAACTTTGGATATTTATGTGATTGTTTGCATTAAGCTATTATCCCTTTTAGATCTGCTTAAATGAAATGTTTAATTCAATGATTTTTTAGTGCAAAAATCTGCTTTAGCAGTGTCTCACAATTTTGATACTTAGTGCTTTCCCTGTCATTTATTACCAATTTTTTCTTTTTAATCTAAGGCTTATTTGTATATACTTTTGGCCTCCAGATAAATAATTTACATTAATATTTAGCAATTTATAGTACTTTTTATATTGTTATTGATTTATAACTTTATTACATTATAATAAAAGACTACATATCATATATGCTCTTAGGAATTTATAGAAGCTTCCTTATTGCACAGTCAAGTTTTATAAATGTCTCTGTATACTAAAACCAGAGAAGTATGCACACTATAAGAATTCTCTATCTCTACGTTACCTTAATTGTTTTGTTTTCATTACTTGTACATTTACTTTCAAGTAAATTATTGGTTCATCTATTTTTTATTGTGGGCTTGCTTGCTTTTGCTTTATATTTTTGTAAATTATAATATCACATACATATATTTTTATGAAAGCTATAACTTCTCTATTATTCTTTATCCAGAAATTAGATAAAGGAATTAGTGCCTTGTCATTAGTTTTTCTCTACAATTTATTTCAAATCATTATCATGGGTTTCTCTAAGAAACATTTGTCTGTAAATTTTTCAGTTCTCTTCCCATTTTTTTACATGTCATTTTTTAGAAATGCTTAATTGAGAACATATTGTTATGTCTTGACATTTGTTGGCTTCAGTTTTGAAAATCTCTTTATTTTGCTATGTGCATTTTATCTATTTACATTTATTTTAGTTATTTTGTAATTTGAGAGTTATTTTTCTCTTTTATTTTCCTCTTTTCCCACACGCTATTAGATGAATCAATATTTTTAGTTCAACTTTTTAAGTTATTTACTCTATTCCTATGTGTCTATTGTGAGCTCTGGTGGTGTAGTGCCTAAGGCATTTGACTGGTAATCAGAAGGCTGGCGGTTCAAACCCACCAGCACTCCTCAGAAGGAAGATTGGGCGATCTACTTCTGTAGTGATACCACCTCAGAAACCCAAGGAGGGGTTGCTATGAGTTGGATCTAACTCCATGGCAGTGAGGTGTTTTTGTTTTGTTTTGTTTTGTTGTAAATAAAATGTTCTTACTCTTGGTTCATTTGGCTGAAATAATCCTTCTGAGGTTTGTTGTTGTTGGCTGATGTTGAATTTGCTTCAATTCACAGTGATCTCATATCCAACAGCAAAATGTTGCCAGTTCTACACTGATGTGATCTATGTGATCATTTGTACATTTGAGTCGATTGTTATAGCCATTGCCTTCCAACCTAGAGAGTTCATTTTCCAGCATTACATCAGATAATATTCTGTTGTGACCCATAATGTCTTCATGGACTAATTTTCAGAAGTAGATTATCACACTTCTTCCTAGTCTGTCTTTGTCTGGAAACGCTGCTAAAAACCTGCTTATCATAGATGACCCTACAAGTACTGGAAATAACAGTTGCAGAGTTTCCAACATAATAACAACGCACAAGTCACTATAGTACACAAATCGACCAGTGGGAAGTGGCCTGTAGTATTAACCAACCTATTTTCTTGCTCCTAAATCTTGAAAAACTCCTTGACGATTATTGAATAGACAAAATTTAGAGTTTTTAAATTAGGACAGTAGTCTAGTCTTATACTGTTTTCCATATATATATATATATATATATATTTTTTTTTTTTTTTTTTTTCTCTATTCCCTAGCATTTATTTAGTTGCAACCAAGATACAGAATATGCGTGTCCTCAAAATGCTTTATTTTATGGTGGTTGTTGTTGTTATATGCCATCGAGTCAGCCCGACTCATAGCGACCCCTCCTTGGGTTTCCGAGGCAGTATCACTACGGAAGTAGGATTGCCCAACCTTCCTACGTACAGTTCAAAAATCTACGCTATGTGAATTTTTTCTTGTCCCTTCCTAGTTGTATTATTAAGTAGCTCCCTTACTGAAATGAGATGATTTTGATTTCCTTCATTCATTTTAGTTCTCTATTCATGATTATGCGCAACATTCAAGGACTACTTACAAAAGTAATGCATTTAAATGTAACAAGAAAGGGTTAGTATGAAAAAAAATTGATACTTTAACTTCTTTTTTAAAATAAGCAAAACAGTGAATGGCACGCTCCCCCATAAGGTAAGCACGCCATCTAGTGGCAACTCCGTCTCACTACACATTTTGACTCAGGCCTGGAAGTGCAGATCCACCTTCAAGTTTTCCTAAATGAACATTTCAAAACAGACTTTCCCTATCTCTCCGCCACGCCCGATATAATAGATGTAAAACAACAAGGGGGAAAAAAAAAAAAAAAACCGTAATTCTTACTGTTTGAGTTGTATTAAACACTGTAAACCAATTAATTTACTGTTGATAACATAAATTCAGCACAACAGAAATAAATGAAGTTTTCATTTGTGTTAACATTAACTAGTAATGCATCTGGATGCATTTTGAAAGGGTAAATTTAAAGGATGCTTGCAAGCTCGTATAAGTTTTTGATAAAATGTGAGAAATTTATTTTCTCCTGAGTTAATACATATAACATACCAATAGAGTACTGCAAATAATAGTTAAGGGGCTGCAAAATGGTGTGGGAATACCATTTCTATACCAAAGAATAGACTTTGGAAGCAGACAGTTTGTTATCACCACCTCTGTAATTGGAACACAATAGTTGAACCACCTAAAATGGTCATTTTTATGTGTGGAAACATGAAAATAACAATATCTTTGTGGTAAGTATAATAAATAATATATGCAAAATGTTAGTCTATAGCAACCACTCACTAAATATATAAAACCAAAAAAAAAAAACCTCCCTGCTGTTGAGTTATTTGACTCAAACTGACCTCTCCTTGGGTTTCCGAGGCAGTATCACTACGGAAGTAGATTGCCAAGTCTTCCTTCTGAGGAATGGCTGGTGGGTTTGAACCGCCAGCCTTCTGGTTAGCTGTCAGATGTCTTAGGCACTATGCCACCAGAGCTCTCAAATACATATGTTGTTATTTGCCATAGAGTCGGCCCCGACTCCTAGCGACCCCTCCTTGGGTTTCTGAGGCAGTTATCACTACGAAAGTAGGATTGCCCAACCTTCCTTCCGAGGAGTGGCTGGTGGGTTTGAACCGCCAGCCTCCTGGTTAGCAGTCAAGTGCCTTAGGCACTATGCTACCAGAGCTCCCTCAAATACATATAGTTGTTGTTAATAGTTATTATCTTTTTTTTTTTTTTTTTTACTTCTTAGGGTTTGTGTAGAGATATACACCTGTTTTGAAATTTAAAACTTATTTCTTTACTCTCTATTTGTTTCTTTGTCATAGTATAGAATACATGTTTTGACAGATACCATTACTTTCAATAATGAAATACATGCTTATTTGGTAAAAATCTAATAAAAAATTACAAAATAAATTATCCATATAAACCACTGAAGTTTTGTATGAACTATATTTTTCAAGGTATTCAGAGAAACTTAAGTTGTTTATACTTACAGCTTTCCAGTTGCATTATACATGTTTGTACGTCCATTGGAAAATTTTTGAGGTCCATTGGACAGGAAAGTGTTAATGTCAATCTGAAAGAATTAAAAAATAATTCCTTTTAAAGGAAATTCATGATGCCAAATTTATAACCTATTTTTCAAGGATGTTACAAATGGTTAACACACTTAGCCACTAACCAAAATGTTGACAGTTTGAATGCACTCAAAGGCACCTTAGAAGAAAGATCTGGCAATATGTGTCTGAAAAATCAGCTATTGGAAACCTTCTGGACCACAGTTCCACTTTGACACCCATGAGGTCATTATGAGTCAGAGATGATTTAGTAATTGGTGCTGGTGGATTGTTCAAGGTTTAATTGAAAACCACTGTTGCTTTGTAATTACTAACATCCATTTATATAACATCTTCTCTAGTCAGGGGATATTATTTACCAGAAATCAGGAATCAGGCTGTACCCTTTTAAATAAATCTTTTTATTTTTTATTTTAAGAGGGGACAACATACATATATATGTTTATATATAGATATATTGTTGTTGTTATGTGCTGTCAAGTCAGACTCCACTCACAG